TCTTGATAACCAACTCGGCAAGTGCTCTTTTGCTCTGGCTGCCAATTGCCGTCGTGTTCGTCCTATTTTCTTGCATCCGCAAGTGCATGTAAATTCTGTAAATTTCGTATGAAAAAGTCGGACAAATACACTCCTGGTCCCAGAGAACGTCTTATCTTCTTCTATCCAGTTACCTGGGCCTCGCATATTCTCGACCATTCAGAATTCAATTCTGTAATTTATCATTCGTTATTCTCTTTATGCAGCGAGTGGAAGCGGCTGGTGAACGCTCGCGAAATTTATGGTGCCATTAAATTCTGCTACATACGCTGTCTTCAACATTTTCGAAGTTTCTGAATAATTTTTAATCCCACCTGATGTTACAGCTGTATTCCGGGATTTCTATGCTACAAGCTTTGTGGTTTTCGCTTAAGATAAACCAAAGATTTGCATGGGTATGAAGAAGAGCGAATCTAGGGCTCTGGATGTGAACCGTATAGCTTAACTTTTAAACAGCTTTAGTAAGTAGAAAGATAGGATGCTTTATGAGTTGGCTTTCATGCCTCAAAGCGCTTGTAGTTCGAAACCGTTTTAAAGCAGAAACATACCCTTTCATTATGTACAAATTTGAAGAAAACGCATTTCTTTTCGACTGAATACGAGAAAGTATATTTCTAAGCATTTTTTTATAAATACCATTTTTATTTATGAGAGCGTTGGAAATCTGGAGGAAAAGCATCACGCTATGTAGGTAGTCATTTTCTAAGGAGTGCAATTTAAGGCGTGTTCAAAGCAGGTCTCATGGGGTGACTGGTATATCTTGTGAATGTGCTGTACAAGCATTTTGTTACAACGTCAGTTAAGTAACATTTTCTAATCGAAAACATAGTTCAGCATTTCAATTAGCATTTGGTGCCCGTGCTGTCAAAATTGCAAACCAGTTAGAATGTCAGATATTAAAATGTCCAGCCGCTATATGCTGCCTTCCGACTCCGACAAAAAATTGACCAGAGAACGCTAAGCCGATAAGCCGAATATGGAAAAACGAAATTTCGACCAGCTTCCACTTCTAGGGGCTGTCTACTAGCACTTCGGACGTAAATTCGACGGGTTGAATCCGTTTTACTGAAAATTTAATTTTTGGCTGTGTGCATCACCTGCACTCTGTTCAAACTCGATTGTCGTACGTCAAATGTAGAAGGCCGTGGTTTCTCTTGTGCACGCCCAAATATGAAGGGAAATCAGCCTTCAGAGATAATTAGGAATTTTATAAACCAGCTGAAATGAGTTTTTTTCCTTAAACAGAAGAGTCAGACATTGGACAAAAAGGGTAGAAAACTACTCTCGAAAAAAACTTTACCAAAGAATGTTATTTACACATCGCAGGGAAAAGGAAACAGTGACAGTCATGACAGTGGAAGCACAACAGTCTACCATGTCAATATTTGAAGTGTTTATTCCTATGCGCTTTTCCTCCCCCTCCCCTTTTAACAGAGCATATATGACGAACACATTAGCCTGCACAAGATTGCCCTCCTGCCCTGGGAGCCGGATCCTTTGTCTGTGAAACTAAGGGCGTTTGAGGTGATGTCGTGTCCGGCTGTAGCTCTCGACCCCGTGATGAATGTCGGCGATCTGGTGAAGGTTGTTCGCTGCCATCCGCACCATGCTTTTCCCCTCGTTCAGGGCGTCTGCGACCCTGCACGCTTTGTCTATGGCCACCTTGTGGGCATGATCTCATCTCAGCATCTTGCACTCATCCTCAAAAAACGGGTACGTACATCTCTCCTCCCCCTCCTCCTGTTTTGTCGGCCAATTTGTTTTTTAAATCAGCATCTACTACTGATCGCTATGCAACCGCCTG